CTCCTTTCTGAGATCTGGGTGTGTGGCTAAAATATCTAACTATTTAGTCACCTGGTTGGTTTTTCTGGCTATCAGCTCTCATCCTAAAATTAACTAGGGGGTCCCACTATTAGATAACAAAGACAACTGCTATCACTTAAGAAATTTCAAGTTTTTGAATTTCAGGAACCAGGGACAGACACCAAGTATATTTTTTATTTCACAGAGTATATAGATAATATATGTATGTCAGGGTATTTTTTTTATTTATTTACTTATTTTTTTTAGAGTAAGGAGATTGATAGAAGGGCACTTACTACTTTAGATAGGGCAGTCAGGGGAAGCTGCACTGACAGGCAGATTACTCCATGGTGTGAGGAAGAGAGCTTTCAAGGCAGAGTAAACTTAGTAAATAAAAATGGAGGGTACTGCACATTCTAAAAAATCTAAGATAGTTAGTATGGCTGGGAAATGGTGCTGGTAGTAAGGAGAGAGTGTTGGGGAATGAGGTCAGGGTTAGTGTGGGTCAGATTATGTGGGGCCTTCTAAGCCATAAGATTTTGGATTTTTTTTCAGTGATGGAAAGACATTGGAGGGTTTGGATTAGGAGTATTATTTGAATTAATTTACTTTTTTAAAAAGAGTCATAAGGACTACTTGGAGAGCTGACTTAGGTGGCGGTCGCCAACCAGTGATCTACGGATCGTTGGTAGTCTGTGAGGTCCAAAAGGTTGGCGACTGCTGGGCTAAGAGCATGTGGACAAAAACGGTTAAGAAGCTATTCTGTTAGTCTAGACCAATAGTCAGCAAACTCATTAGTCAACAGAGCCAAATAGCAACAGTACAACGATTGAAGTTTCTTTTGAGAGCCAAATTTTTTAAACTTCTTCTAGCACCACTCCTTCAAAATAGACTGGCCCAGGCCGTGGTATTTTGTGGAAGAGCCACACTCAAAGGGCCAAAGAGCTGCATGTGGCTCGCAAGCCGCAGTTTGCCGACCATGGGTCTAGATGAAAGATCACAGTAATACCAACCAGAGCATTAGTAGTGGCATTGATGAGAAGTTGGGGGAGTTTCTTGATATATTTTGACAGAGCTCCAACAAAGATTAGATGTGGGATATATGAGAAATGACTCCATCCAAGTATCTTGGCCTGAGCAGTTGGGTAAATGGTGGTGCCACTTGTGGTATGCTGAGTGAGGAGCAGGTTTGGGGATAAGATTCAAGAATTTGGTTATAGACATGTAAAGTTGGGAAGCCCATATTGACATCCCAGTGGAGATGAGTGGGAAGGTTGATTTAAATATAGAGTTTAAGAGGGAGAACTCTGTATTCTGAATCTAAACTTGAAAATTTTTAGCAAATAAGGGCTTTTCAAAGCTCTGAGAGTAGGTGAGATCATAAGAGGAATCCATGTAGGTAAAAATGAGAAGAAGTGGGAGTACTAAGCTTTGGGGAATGCCAGCATTTACAGAAAGAGCCAAGGACATTCTGAGGGAGGAGCCTGTGTTAAGAGGAAAACCAAAGAGTGTGGTGCTCCATCCACTAAAAGCCATAAAGTGGTCTATCACATGCTTCTGAGAGGTCACTGAATCCAGCAGTGTAAGAGTCACTGGTGAATTTGAGAGCTGCTTCTTTGAATTGATAAAGACTCCAGCTGATTGAAAGGGCTAGGAGGGAGAGGTGATTAAGAGGTGGCAGCAATTATAGATATTGTGAGGGACTTTTTATTAAAGCTGAGAAATTAAGCAGGAGCTGGAGGGGAGTCCTAAAGTTGAGGAAAGTTTTTAATTTTTCCTTTCTCTTTTTTTCCTAGTTTTGTCCTTAACAGCCATGGGAAAGATCTGGTAGGGAGGGAGAACTAGATGGCATTAGAAGGGAAGGGGTTTTTTAGGAACCAAGACTTTGAGTAGGTTAGTTACACAACACTGACTCCTTGTTTCAGGAGAGGGAAGGCAGAGTGAGAGAGCAGTGTAGGTAGGTTGGAGAGTTCTCTTTTGAGAACTATTGATAGTTCATTGTTCAGTTAATCACATAGAATGTGATTGCTCCTTATCTGCAGGGAGTGAGGTTGTGATGGGAGTGGGGGGTGCAGTAGGGTGGCGGGAGATAATAGGGAGAGGTAGTAGGCAAGTCCACTTTTTTTAAACTTTTCTTTTTTTTGTAAAATAGGGAGATTATACTAGACTAGAGTCCCAGTGCACGAACATGCAGGGTAGGGTCCTTAGCAGCTGCTGACCAGGGCCTCCCTTCTTGATGGTCAGTGCACATCATAGCAAGCGATCAAACTCCTGGTCATTCCAACTCCTGAAGGACACTTTGCATATTAGGCTTTTACATATATAGATTAGAGGCTCGGTGCATGAAATTCGTGCTGGGGTGGGGGGGCTCAGCCCTGGGATAGGGCCTAAACAGGCAGTCTGACATCCCTCTCACAATCCTGGACCACTGGCTCCTAACTAACTGCTCTCTTGCCTGTCTGGTCGCCCCTAACTGCCCCCACTACCACCACTACCAGCCTGATTGCCCTTCACTGCCTCTGAGTGCCAGCCTGGTCACCCTAACTGTCCCCCATTGCCAGCCAGGTTACCCCCAACTGCCCCCCTCCCTGCCAGCCTGGTCACTCCTAACTGCACCCCTTGGCTTGGTCACCCTTAACTGCCCCCCTCTGCCATCCTGGTTGCCGCCAATCCGCGCACCACCACCACCACCACCCGCCCCCCCGCTCACCTGGTTCCTCACAGCCCTCCACTGGCCTTGTCGCTACACGCAGCCTGCTTGTTCAGTCGTTTGGTCATCCCCTTGTTGTCCTGGTTGTAGGCAGCCATCTTGTGAGGGTATGAGTGCTAATTTGCATATTACCTCTTCATTTTATAGGATTGTTTCTATGGAACTTCCAACTCCTAAAAAGAATACTGCTTTTCTAATCCCTGAAGGGTATAACTCCTTACAGTTTTTTTATTTTTCTTAGGGTTTACCTAAACTTTACCATCTTAACCATTTTTAAGTGTATGGATTATTTATTTCTTAAAATATATTTTTATTGATTTGGGAAAGGGAGAGGAGATATATAAACATCAATAATGCAGGAGAATCATTGATTTGCTGCCTCCTGCACACACCCCCAGGGGATTGAGCCTAAAACCCGGGCATGTTTCCTGATTGGGAATTGAACTGTGACCTCCTGGTTCATAGGTCAATGCTCAACCACTGAGCCACACCAGTTGAGCTAAGTGTACAGTAGTGTTAAATATATTTACATTGTTGTGAATCAGAATCATATTTAAAATTAAGTTATATGCATGGTGCTTTGTAATGACCAAATGAATGGTCACCAGATTGTGCATTGATGGGTCTTGCAGCACAGGGGTCTCAGTCTTGTGCAATTTCGTGCTGGGCCTCTAGTATTATAATAATTGAAAACTCACCAGCCAGATTGCCAAAACGCTTGAAAAATGTTAACTCACAGTCCTTCTTTGATGTGAACATAATTTTTACAATAGACCTACCTATGGTTTACTACTTTTGAGACTTATTCCTACCCCTTCCAAGTTCTTTCCCCTCTCTTTTAGTTTTCATAGCCATAATGTGTTTTGCATTGGCTTTCTTAATTGAAAAACTGCATGGTTTTTAAAATAAAATAGTCTTCAGTTTTTAATAAGATTTAGATACAATGTGGTTATTTTGGTGGCCTTAGTTTATACAAGAGATTTTTTTACTGTTATTGTAAATATTTATATTTCTTTGTCCTTTTCTGGAAACAGATTTTTCTGGTGCTGTACAAATAGTTGTAGTTCTCTAATAGTAAGCATCGAAAGCCTACACATCTATGGCCACTTGAATAAGAAAAATAAATGTTGAAAAATTTTAGCAGCTAGCAATTATATCTTCCTTCCCCCTTAGCTTTTGGTTTCTCCATTACTTCCCCCACTCTAGATCTCTGTACTAAAAGGAAGTCACCTGTAACACAAAACTCCACATTTAGTATCTCCTGCACTGAAAATTATCATGTGGAACAGAATCCCATTTATGACAATCACATTTATGTGTGTATGTGTGAAAATAAACTTTGATAAGCTTTAATGTTTTCTTTGTTTCCATTTCCCTCCCAACTAATTGTAAAGTTTTTGAGGAAAGGACTATGTACACCATGTTGATTAAACCTTGACATTCAAAATGAGGTGGCTGGACATTTGACAAATATTCATGAAGTATTTAGTTGATTAGGGATAGATGAATGCAATCATTTTGTGCCATTTTCTGATACTGCAAAAATTAGTTATCTTTCTGATTATGCATTTTACAGTAAGTATTTTTAAAATAAATTAATTGTGAGTATAATATTAAAGTATTTCTATGCAGCATTTGTATTCAAGTTGTGTGAACAGTATTTCCTTTTTTTTTTTTTTTTATAGAGAGAGAAACATTGATTTGTTGTTCCACTTATTTATGCACTCACTGATTAATTCTTGTATGTTCTCTTATTGGGGATCAAAGCCACAACGTTGGTGTATGAGGTACACACACTAACTAACTGAGCTACCCAGCCACGGCTTACATTATATCTTTTTTATAGTGTCTGGCATATGGCTAAACTCACACAAATAAGAAACACTTTAAAAGTTTTCTTATTTTAAAGTATACCTGGGGAACATCTGACCTGTGTACCATATAAGGCCCATGAAATCATTTGGTCTGGCCCTGCCAAGGCATTAGAGGTGAGTTAATTAAATGTTTACCAAGTATAGCAGACTATTTGACCCACAAATATCCAAATGCTGCTTGGCAGAAAAAAAGTCCTCCACACCTGTTTTAAAGTGATGATTGGATTCTGTCACATATGATTAGTGGACTCTGTTGTTTCTGTTGTCACTATCAGTGGAACATATAAGCAGTCCTGTTCTCTGTCATGAACATTTGTGTGTGTGTGTGTGTGTGTGTGTGTGTGTGTGTGTGTGTACACAAATGCCATTTGCATTTAAAAATTGAAAGGTTATTTCTGAATGTTTTTATCTTTCAGAATATCTTAGCTGAACCATCAAGGTCTAATGGAAGTATGCTTCGCCATTCCACATCTTCATATATAGTATATCCACCAGATAAGCCTTTCCTTAATAGTGATCTACGACGCTCCCCGAATAAGCCTACACTTGCCTATCCAGAAAGCAACAGCAGAGGTAATAGAGCCTAGCAAAACAGATGTGGGTTTTTTTTTTTTTTTTTTTCTTCTGTGTGTGTGTGTGTGTTTAGTTGATGGTTAAAAATTCTTAATTGTCTTTCATTTTAAATTTAGAGGAGGCAAGAATATTTCCCCTCTTTCTATTTTAACCTCAAATATAATGCCTTTGTTAGTTTGTTTCTTGTCAAACATCATCATTCTTCATATTTTATCCTGCAGTAATTCACTTTTCTCTGAACTTTTGAAAAAGTTCCTTTGCATAGATGTAAAAATCAGAACTAGATATAACATTGTAACAGAAGGAGTAATATCTAATTTTTAGACTTGTGTTCTGCTAGAACTCTAGTGCTTGGGCTTTTTTATATAGGTTTTTTATTTTGTTTTTAATAAGAAATTATTACTAAAAGGAAACTTTTTATTCCACTTTGAACTTAGTTATTTGTTTTTTACTTTTTTAACCTATTGTTTGAATGTCGTGTAGTTTTTGTTATTTTTCAGAATTGGCAGTCTTTATTGCATTCTGGTAATATCGTGTACTGGGCCTCTAGTGTAAAATAGCCAGAAATTTCATGTGTTTTAAACAGATGTCAGAAGTGACCCTGGCCAGGTAGCTCAGTTGGTTATAACTTCATCCCTATACACCAAGGTTGCAGGTTTTATCTCTGGTCAGTGCACATACAAGAATCAACAAATGAATGTATAAATAGGTGGGGCAGCAAATTAATGTTTCTCCCTTCCTCTTCCTCTCTCTGAAATCAATAATTTTTTTTTTAAATGGCAAAGAGATTGTAATTAATAATGGTCCATGTTGGCAAAGACATGCTTCTGATGAAAGTATAAATTGATGCAACCCTTTTTGAAGGTACTTTACTTTTTCAGGAAACTTTAAAATATGAATATTTTTGAACCAATAACTTGATTTTTCAACTTTTATTGTTTATAATAAGGACATACCATTTTAAGACAACTTGAATGAGAGCTCACAGTATCTTAATGCTAGAGTGAAAAACAAAAATTTTAATCTCAATTTATAGTAAAAAATATATATAGTAAAAAATTGAAAGAAATAACAATTGACAGGCATTATCTTTTGGTAGTAGGATTATCAGTTTATTTTCCTTATTGTGTTTTCCTGTGCCTTGTACGGTGAATACATATTACTTTTATGATTAGGAACTTTCATTGGGCAGTTAAATTGCTTAGATTTTTATCCTAAGTAGTGAAAAAATAGACATTAAAAGTTAGTCCTTTTTATGCTAGACTATTTTAACTCTGATTGGATTCTGCCTGTGATCCTTTTAATGAAACCAAAAAAAAAAAAAAAATGATCATGTACTTCAGGATAGTTATATGAACTGGTATGATTAGCTAAATATTTTCACCCTTTTGGAAATCTGAAATATATTTACCATGATAAAGTGGTTTTTACTTGCATACCTCACATGTTTCAGAAACTCAAAAGCTATCTTTAAATGAATTTTTAAAAAATTCTTATGGTAATTAACATTTTATTGTTCCCAAAGAGTGATCCTCCACTGGACCTACCCATCAATTTTTATTTTTTATGTAGATAAGGTTATTCTTTATAAGTAAATTTTCTCCATAGAGTTATACTATTCATATTTGTATTTGGCAGCCATATTTTCTGCTCTGAAGAATCTTCAAGATAAGATTCGACGCTTAGAACTTGAAAGGATTCAGGCAGAAGAAAGTGTGAAAACCTTGTCCAGAGAAACAGTTGAATATAAGAAAGTATTGGATGAACAGATACAAGAAAGGGAGAATTCAAAGAATGAGGAATCAAAGCACAATCAAGGTTTGTTTAATTATTAAGGAAATAAAACACCATCAAAGTATTATAAAATTACTCCAAAATTGCACATTAGCATTTCCTGGTGGTCCGTCTACAGGTACTACAAAACTGCATTATACTCTGATGCATGTTGAGGAACTTATTGGTATGTATGGTTTACATCATCTGAAAAGGCTCAGAGGGCTACTGGAAATGTTTATTATGTACACCGTAGACTAAATTCCTTTTAACAGCTTGTTAAAACTGTTCTGAGTGTTCTAATTTCTGCTTTTCTTACATATTCTTTTTAGAACTGACATCTCAGTTGTTAGCTGCAGAAAGTAAATGTAATCTTTTAGAAAAGCAATTGGAATACATGCGTAATATGATAAAGCATGCAGAAATAGAAAGGACAACTGTCTTGGAGAAACAGGTATGATACCTCACCGATTCATTCTCAAGGACAGTTATTTGTGGGGGAAATGAGACAAAGTTTTTTTCTCAGTGAATCATTTCTACTTTTATCTTAAAGTAACCATTGGCAGTAGTGCCAGCAGTTCATTTTGAAAAACTACTGTAAACTTTGAGAAAAAATATATTCCCTCCCTCTCCCCCCCCCCCCCCCCCCCCCCCCCCGTATAGCTTTGAAGGGGAGGTTCCCTTTTGGGTGGCACTCACACTGCCCCATCCTCTACATCACTCAACCTTTCTAATGCCAAGACCCTTTAATACAGTTCTTCATGTTGTGGTGACCCCAACCATAAAATTATTTTCATTGCTACTTCATAACTGTAATTTTGCTACTATTATGAATTGTAATGAAAATATCTGTGTTTTCCAATGGTCTTAGGCAACCCTGCTAGCGGTTCTCAACTTGTTGATTCTATCAATCCATGAACATGGTATATTCTTCCACTTCTGTAGATCTTCTCTCTTTTTTCAATGTCCTGTAGTTTGCCTCGTTGGTTAAATTTATTCCCAAGTATTTTAATTTTTTGTTGTTGTTGCCATGGTAAGTGGGATTACTTAGTTTCTCTTTCTGAGAATTCATTATTGGTATCTAAAAAAGCCATCAATTTTTGGGTGTTGATTTTGTATCCTGCTACATTGCCAAATTCATTTATTAAATCTAGTAGTTTTTTTATTGGAGTCTGTAGGGTTTTCTATGTATAATATGTCATCTATGAATAATGAAAGCTTTACTTTTCAATTTGGTTGCCTTTTATTTCTTCTTGTCTGATCATGGTGGCTAGGACTTCCAGTACTATCTTATATAATAATCCTATATAATAAAAGGCTAATATGCAAATCAACTGAACAGCGGAATAAACAATCGCTGTGATGCACGCTGATCACCAGGGGGCAGATGCTCAATGTAGGAGCTGCCTCCTGTTGGTCAGTGAGCTCTTACAGAAGCCCTGAGCCAAGCTCATGGCTGGCAAGTGCAATGGTTGCGGTTTTGAGCCTCTCTCACCTCTGGCAGTGCTAAGAATGTTTGACTGCCAGCTTAGGCCACGGGTACGGGCCTAAGCTGTCAGTTGGACATCCCCTGAGGACCAGCTAAGGACCCTCCCCACAATCCCACCCCAAGTGTATGAATTCCATGCACCGGGCCTCTAGTGTTGAATTGAGTGATAAAAGCTGATAACCCTGTCTTATTCTAATTCTATTCTACCAGCCTTTTATCCCTGGAATAAATCCCACTTGTTCATGGTGTATTATCTTTTTAATACATTGCTGGATCTGATTAGCTAATATTTTATTGAGGATTTTAGCATCTATGTTCATCAGGAATATTGGCTTGTATTTTTTTTTTTTTTTTTTTTTTGTAGTGTCTTTATCTGGTTTTGGAATTAGAATAACACTTGGAAAAAAGAGCATGGAAGTGTTCCTTCCTCTTGGATTTTTTGGAATAGTTTGAGGGGTATAGTCGGTATTAGTTCTTTTAATATTTGGTAAAACTCCTCTGTGAAGCCATCAGGACTCGAGCTTTTGTTTACTGGAAGTTTTGAGTACTGCTTCCATTTCATCAGTTGTTATTGGCCTATTCAGGTTTTCTGATTCTTCCTCATTCACTTTTGGGAGATTGTATTTTTTTTCTAGGAATTTTCCATTTTATCCACATTGTCCAGCTTGTTGGCATATACTTATTCATAGTATTTCCTTACAATCCTTGTGTTTCTGTGGTATCAGTGGTTACTTCTCTGCTTTCATTTCCGATTTTATTTACTTGGTTCTTCTCTGTTTCTTGATGAGTTTTGCTAACAGTTCATCAATTTTGTTTATCCTTTCAAAGAGCCAACTTTTGGTTTTCAATTATTTTTTTTTTGTAATTTTTTTAGTCTTTATGTCATTTAATTTCTGCTCTAATCTTTATTCTTTTCTTCCTCCTACTTACTCTGGGCTTTTCTTGTTCTCTTTCTAGTTTGTTATGTTTTAGGGTAAAATAGTTATTGTTAATTTTTCTTGTGTTTTTGAAGTAGGCATTGAAGAACTGCCTTTACTGTGTCCCAAAGATTTTTGGGTTGTTATGTGTTCATTTTATTAGTTTTTAATTTTTTTTCTTGATCTCATTGGAAACCCATTAATTGTTTAATAAATGCTAGTTAGGGAGGAGAACCAAGATGGCAGCATAGGTAACACCTGTACTTGCTGCTCCCACAACATCAAAATTACAACTAAAATACATAACTATCACCCTGAAGCTCAGGAAAGCTGGCTGAGTAGAAGTACTCAACAAGAGAGGTTAAGAATAAAGTGCATTGAGACTGGTAGGCGGTGTGGAGACATGGAATGGGTTGGCACCTGGGTGTGCCACTTTTTAATCAGGAGGGAGATAAAAGCTCCCGCTTGCTATGAGCTCCAATGCCAGGTGAGGCTTGAGGGGTCGGGGGAGACCCAGACACATTCAGGGAGAGTTTGGCATTGGGGCAGGAATGTGGTGGTAGCTTTCTTCCAGAAGGAGGTGCTCACAATGGTCATTGTCATTGTTCTTGGGCTGGGACCTTCCAGGTGCAGGGCTGAATAGCAGCCATTGCTGTTTGCTCCACCCTGGAGATTCTGAGACCCCATCCTACCCAGTTTACAACTCCACCCAAGCTGTGTGCAACTGTTTTTGCATATAAATGGTCTGCACTTTCTCAGCCTGAAAACTGTCAAAAAAGCTGCAGCTGGGTTAGGGAGCCCCAAAGCTATCAAAAGAAAGCTCAAGGCTGCATCAGCCTCCTTTGGTTCACAGCTGGATCTCCTCTGGGAACTTCCAAACCCAATACAAAGAGGAGGAATCTACAGATCTCTCTGTAACTATTGTTGGGTGGCCCTAGGCAGTGGCTACTTTGTACCTCCTTGGAGATCCAAGAGCCAGTGTATCCAGTGGTCAGTGCTTTTTTTTCCTCGAGTTTGATTTTGTCCTTTCATTTGGGACATATTCTTCAGTCTCCTCAGTTTGTTTGACACTCTTGTTTGTTTTCTATGAAGTAGGTGAAACAGCTACTTCTCCCAGTCTTGAAAGAGTGGCCTTGTATAGGAACAACCCCTGCATAGATGTGCATGCCACTGGCTTTGGTAAGCTGGGTAGAGCTGGAGTGAACATGGCTAACTCATATGACCTGGGGCTGCCTTGGTGGGAAGGCTATTAATAGTTGGGAACGGAATGGGCTTAGATGGCCTCGAGTTTTCCTTTCCACATCCCTTCTGGTGGGGTGGCAAACTGGATCTAGAGTGGACCTGGGCTGAGCTGTCCTGGTATGCTGCGTTCCAGACCATGGTTGGGTACCTGACTAGAGATTGGAAAGCTGTTGGTGACCAGGGATCCTCAGTAGGCTGGCAAGAGTGGTGAGCCTCAGCTCTCCACCCATGCTACCCAGGTGGGTGGAGGATTGTAAAATGTGGCCTCTTATCCCGGTGTCTTCTAGCAATTCCCTACCCTTTTGGCAGATGCTTTAGGTTAATTTAAGTACCTTACACGTTTGTGAGAGGACATCTGCAACATCAGTCTTGAAAATATATATACATTTTTTTTAAATACCTGTTCCTATTATGAATCTAAAATTTTAATTCATTATGAGTACCACGATACTTAAACATCTTACCCTTATTATGGAAAATTTTAAGATTTATATGCCTCAATTTTACTAGATGCTCTGCAGTGTGAAAATGTTTATGCTTTTTCCTTTCAGTCAACTGATATCAGATCTAAAAAAATAGTTGAATAATTGTACGACTGACAAGGCTATACTAAGCTAACCTAAAACTTTAAACTTAAACCCTCCTTACTGTATTGTTCTCATTCTTTTTCCTATTATTTTTATTATTTCTACAAATATTCAAATTAAAAAAATGAAAACCCTCAATTTCGAAACAAACTAACATTGGCGTTCTAAATTAGTTTATAACTTCTAAAACATTGTGTTAAGACTTATCCCATTTGGCTCAGTTGACAGAGCGTCAGTTTATGGATTGAAGGGTCCCGGGTGGGCACATGCCTGGGTTGCAGGCTGAATCCTCAGTAGGGGGTGTGCAGGAGGCAGCCAGGCAATGATTCTCATCATTGATGTTTCTCTTCCCCTCTCTCTTCCTCTCTAAAATCAATAAAAATATATTTTAAAAAAATACTGTAAAATGTAAAAAACCCCAAATTACAAAAAATTACTGCCTTGCAGTATATTTCTAATTTATTTTTTAAAATCCTGAATTGTTTTTATAGAGGAAATCAAGTGTTATTTCTTTCAAATGAAACTCATTTATAGGTTAAGAGAGGTTATGTGATATTGCACTTTAAAAACCAATACAAATTCCATTTTTTCTATGCTGATAGTTCAAGAGACATCTCTTTCTCTTTATGGAAGTGTACAGCCTTCTTTACTATTTCAAGCTGTTGTTCTTCTGTTTCATTTCTGTGAAATCTTGAGCTTCTTTCTGATTTTTTTTATTTGTGTTCCAGCTAATGAGTCCTTTTTCTCTTGCACATTGTATTCTATTTTCTACAGTATACAATTGTGATCACAGAAAACTGAAAGATCACCAGGGTTCTGAAGAGGAGGCATTAGTAATCCAATAGCAACAGCATCCTGGGAATTAGGAGGTTTTAAAGAGGCCATGGTAGCTGTTCTTGTGGCTCCAAAAGATCTATCTTCCTTCTTGTCATGTGGTTCAGAAATATTATGGGTACAGCATTCTCTTTCAGTAACTTACTGCATTCCCTCATAAAACAATCTGGAGTAAAGTGTTCTGAAAAAAATACTGCTATACTTGCTGGGTTTAGTTTTTTCTTCTGATAGCTGCCTCCCATTCTTTGCAAAGATTGGATCAAATAAGAGGAAACTTGTGGAAATAAATGGGCTTATCCTTATCTTATTGGTTTCTTGCCAACTTAGGTGGAATAGGACTGCACCACCCTTCACTTCTGCCACCCCAGCAAGCAGGCGAAGCTGTTATCAGGGTCACTGCTTTTGGCTTTGACACCCTCACTTCTTCTGTAGCTTTGGTCAACAATTAGGATGATAGCCTCAGTCCGAGTGTCTAATGTGCCTTTTTATAGCTTGCGATAGTAGAAGGACCATGTACTATCTTCTGTCTCCCACCTCTAATTGTTATCGTATTTATTGTTTCCAATGGCATCTTCTTACTCCACCTTGTTTTAATGTACCATAACTTTGGTTTTTATTTCTTCCTTTTATCTCTTTAAATACTATAAACTGTTTTTAATTTCTTCTTAATTATCTGATGTCTTCAGATTACCAGTTCTGTCATATACTGTATCTCCTTAATCTCAATTATAGTGTGGTTATTGTTTTTTTTTATGGGAAATAAAAACATACATTGTATGGTGAACTTACTCTTTCCAGGTGGTTTTCCCCCTCTTGGAATTTATACTTTCTAAGTCAGTGACTCTCAACCTTTCTAATGCCGAGACCCTTTAATTCAGTTCCTCATGTTGTGGTGACCCCCAACCATAAAATTATTTTTGTTGCTACTTCATAACTAATTTTGCTACTGTTATGAATCGTAATGTAAATATCTGTGTTTTCCAGTGGTCTTAGGCGACCCTACTAGGGGTTCTCAACCTGTGGGTCCAGAAAGCACAGATATTTACATTACGATTCATTAACACTAGCAAAATTACAGTTATGAAGTAGCAACAAAAATAATTTTATGGTTGGGGGTCACCACAACATGAGGAACTGTATTAAAGGGTTAGAACTGAATTAGAAAGGTTGAGAATCCACTGTTCCAAGTTGTGTTATAACTTTAGGAGGCAGTTGTGTATTTACCTTTGCTGAGGCTTGATGGTTTTTACTGGTTCTGGTCCATGTTTATATTAATTTATTGGCTGGGGGTTCTTATATCTGCAGATTGTAATACATTGAGGGTTGTTTTTTTTTTGTTTGTTTGTTTGTTTTTGGTCATATTCCCGGTATATTTTATACATTGAGACTCCAGTACAGCCTCATGTGATATTTTGCCTCCTTATCCCTTTCACTTGCTTTTGAGATTATCTTGTACATTTGTTGGTTTTTCTTTTATGCTTTCAAACTTAATTATATTATATTTATTACAATGGTTTGTCTATCACTTTTATGTGATAGATTAGGTGTGGAAGAAGGTGTTTATTTTAATCTGCCACATGATTGGAAATGTAAGACATTTCTATGTTTGTGAAAGCACACTCTATGATGTTTGTACATTGCCAAAGTCGCCTAATATGCGCTTCTAAGAATGTATACCAATTATATATTGTTAACTGGTATATGTAATAGTTGACTTTGAATGATAGCTTTATTTCATCAGTAAATTTCAAATAACTTATTCAATAGGAATGGTTCCAATACTGGAAATAAAATGTGATTTTTGCTAAATTTTATCTAAATATATTCTTTTAAAGTTAGTAAACTACCCACTGTAATGGATAGGGGGAAATTAATAGTTCACACAAATTCTTGAAAAAATTGCTGTTTGTATTACTTTGCCATTTTCAAGTTTCTGATACCTACTGCTGTATGGGGAAATATACTTTTTACAAATTTCGGTACTTGGTACACTGGCTTTTTACCATTAAACATCAATTTAGCATATTTCCACTTTTTTTCCTAGTTTAATAGTTCGTCTTGCGATTGTCAGTTCTGAAACCTGATAGGTGGCAGTCTTTTCAAATCCTTGATTGAAGACTGGGGGAAAAAAGTTTTACATAAAACTCACAGGAAATTAAATAATATATACTAAAACCGTAATTATTGCCTTAATAAAGAGATTAGCTATTTAAGATAACCAGACTAATTAGAAGAGTGTGTGTGTCCTCTACATATCTAGTAAATCTCTATTTCACAGTATAATGATAGTTTTGCTATAATAGAACCACATTATAATTGTATTTAGTGGAGACAGGAGTCCATTTGTATTAATGTGATGTTCCTGTGGTTTCATCTTAATATTTTCCTAGAATTCCTCTATATTATGTAAGTAGTTATATGAAAGGCAAAAAAAAAAAAAAAAAAAAGAGCATACAGTGTACTTACTCTAAATTATACTCAGTGTTGTTCACTTTGTTTTGCTGAAATCATCAAGCTGTGTTTAACATTGTTTCCCAGGTTTCCCTCGAAAGAGAACGACAACACGATCAAACACATGTTCAGAGCCAACTTGAAAAATTGGACCTTCTTGAGCAGGAATATAACAAACTAACTGCAATGCAGGCCCTTGCTGAAGTCAGTAAATGTATTTTTTACTTAACTGTATCAATGGAACGATCGGTTGACCAGTTGCTGTGATGTGCACTGACAACCAGGGGGCAGACACTCAGTGCAGCAGCTTCCCCCTGGTGGTCAGTTGTGCTCCCACCAGCAACCTCCTGTGGCCGGCCAACCACCTGACATCCTCCCCTGGCTGGCCCACCTCCCTTGGTCCCTCCCCCGTCTGGCAGGCCTTGATTGACCTCCTGCCCGCCCACCCACCGCAGTGGCAGGGTGATGGCGGCAGCATTGGCATCTGTGTCTGGCATCCTTTCCTTCCGTGCCCGGTCTGGTGACCTTTGCTTCCTCTCCTGACCCCACCTGGGGCATTTGGGTCCCAGGCTGGGAGAGGGAACGTGAGTGGCAGTGGATGTGGCCCCTTTCCTAGGGACTATTGGGCAACCTTCTGTGATGGACACCTCTCTACCCCCCACCCCACCAGCAGGCCCTGATCGCTGGCCAGGCCTAGGGGAAGAAATGTAATTTGGAGAGAATGTTCATATTTTAAAACTTACATACATGAAAAGTAGGTATTTGTTTTTTAAATGTTTGAAGATTAAATGTTTTTGAGTATTCCTAAGGCTTGCATCACTTGTTTTAAGTTGTTCTGTTACCTAATTTTAGTTCTAATTAATTTTCTCAGGAAATACCAGTACCACTGACACTAACGTTTCAGACTCGGCTTCCATCTAAATTGAGTGCATTCATACAGAGTGTGTTCTTTGGACATAGATTTTTTTCCCATATATCTGTCGAACCTCATAAATGACATAATAAATCACAAGGGAATGTCGAGGATATTGGCAAATGCAGACCCATCACTAGAGTGAACGAGGAAGCTTATATTTACAATACTAAAATTTTACACATATTCCTCTGTTCCTATATTATAATTTTACAAGTTAGACAATCAGACTTTTTCACTGTTACCACTTTGAATTTTTTTTTCCACTAGAAAAAAATGCAAGAATTGGAAGCAAAACTTCATGAAGAAGAAAAGGAAAGAAAACGTATGCAGGCTAAAGCAGCTGAGGTAAATTGAAAGGTGAACAACTAGGCCCCTCATGTTTTGTACTGTTTTTATATAAGTAGATGGTTAACTGTGGGCTTCTTAGATTATTTATATTTTGGAATGGTCCAATATATAAATTCTTAGATGTACTTTAATATGGAAAATTACAAACATTTTTACAAAGTAAAACCTGAGCAATTCTTTAGACTTTTTCAAATTGTGGGATTTCAGTCAGGATTTTGTATGTGCCCTGACCAGGAATTAAACCACAACCTTGGCATATCCAGACAAGGCTTTAACCAAGGCTTGGTATTCTATTTATAGGTGCTTTCTTTTCCTTGGTGGCCTCAAAACTGAAGTTGAGGTAGAGGGCTGCCCCAATAGCTATTAACATATTAATTTATAAAAGCTACCATATTAGGCAAATGAGTTTGGCTTACTATTCTTGGCGTTTATTTTTTTTTTTTACTTTTATTGATTTCAGAGAGGTAGGGAGAGTGAGAGTTAGAAACATCAATGATGAGAGAGAATCATTGGTTGGCTGCCTCCTGCATGCCTCACACTGAGGATGGAGCCCACAACCCTGGCATGAATTCTGTCGGGGAATCCAACCGTGATCTCCTGGTTCATAGGTCCATGCTCAAACAGGAAGTCATCTTGCCAGGTTAGCCTTGGATTTTTTTTCCCTTGCAGTGGCCACTAGGTAAAATAGGTAAGGCAGTGTGAATTTACAGAAACATTGAGTTTATGTACAGCAACCAGAACTGCATTTCTAGAAGTAGCAACACTTCTGTACCCATTAAATCTTATTTATAGGCTTAATAAAAGACTTATGTTTATAACTGGTGACTCTCCCCTTATTTATTCAAATATCTCCTATATATTGCCCTCCCCATTCCAAATAATATAATTGAAATTATATTATTGCATATAATAGTGCATATAATATTCTCATAATAATATTAACACAAGAAGTAGATCCTGATTTCAAAACAATTGGGAGGGAAGGATTTCTAGTTCAGGCTGTGGCAGATGCCAGCACTATCCTGGGATCAGTTCGTGAGTGTGCTCGCAGGATTGTGACCATTCTAGTAATCTCATCTTTGTTATCTGTTTCTTCCTGTGCCTCCCAGAATTCATTGACTTCACATACTTTCTTCTTTAAAACATGTATTTTTTCCTCAAATATCTACCTTTTGATCCATTTCATATATTTTCCCCCTCAGTGTGCTTTTTGAGTTATATAGTCATGTGACTTCATTTTTGACTGCCTACAGAGTTTGAAATTACTTGTTTTCTCTTCCCATTCCATTTTAGGGTGGGCCACTTTACTGTGTGTACATTTCCTCATTTGTAACATAAAACTTATGGGATGTGCTTTATATATATTGTGGTGGTGAGTTTTGTACATGTAATACAAATTAAACAAGTTCATAATTTTATTTTAATAAAGGTATGAAAGCAACCAGTAAGTGAAAGTACTGATTATTGGTCATAATTTATGTATCATATTTCTTGGTTGTTTTTTTATTTAGCAGGCATAAAGTAGGGACCAAATTAATTACTACTGATAGTATAATGTCAATAAAGGTTTTGAATTCTGATAATTCTATTGTAGTGGAAGAACAGTGGCCAAGCATAATAAGTGATTCCAAGTCTAGATAACCCTTATTTGTTTAGCCTTAGGCAAGATATTTGACCATTCAGAGCTTGAATTTTACCTTAGATAAAGTAATCTTCATTTTATTTCTGCTTAGTATTAGATAAATTAGAGAAAAAATAATGAAAACACTTTAAATTGTTAACACTTTGCCATACAGCTACCAGGAAGAACTAAAAAGCTGGGAGTTAAAAGTATTCAAACAGATTGTTCTTTTGTTTACTATTCAAACTCTTGGCTTCTTAGGTGTTCCATATAGTAATTTCATGTTCTTTGAATTATAGTTATTCAGTTTACTGTGTATAAGACATTGGTAGATGTGTACAAATATAGGTGCTCCTGAACATGAAGGTCCTATATTTCTTTGTCACTGAATAGATTTTTTCCCTGGAGAATGCAATAATTGTGGGAAGTCTAAGTAATGATCTCAGTATTTCTTTTAACTAATCCATTGGTTCTAAGTGTTCCAGTTCCATCTTAATTTCCTGGAGAACTTTAAGATACTGTTAAATACAAATTTCCCCAACCTAGAAGGTGTTAAATGATAAGATCAGGAGAGGAGCACTCTTAATTTTATTCCTCATAAACTCCAGACAGTTTTGATTCGTAGGCAAGTTTGAAAATCACTATTCTAGATTAATGAACTAACTCATAAATGTGTATGATTATATTGATTTAAGTAAAGTTGTAAGTTATCTTAGGGAAAAGAGCAGTCCTTGTTTGAAAGCCTTCTTAATTGCTTATGGAATTTCTATGATGTATCGATAGATAGAAAATTATTTTTATTGTAGTTACTAAGCTTCTAGAGAAATGGGCTTGATTACATTTGCTGATTTACCTTCCAGTTCTTTTGGACATAAATTTCCAGTTCCTTTTTCTTATATTATTAAGTGTATGAGTTTTTAAAAGAGGAAGAAATGTATTTGCTTTCAAGTCGCTTTTGCATCAGGTTCTGTTACAGATTCTGTGTGTGAAAGAAAGAAAATTCTGAAGCATCAGTTTGCAGTTAGATATAGTTCATTTAACTTACTAGCTATAATTTATGGAGCAGCTCTAAATGAGGGAGCTTCAAGATAAATTGAGATGCTGGTATTAATTTAAAATGTTTGACAGAGATGACAGATTGGTTTAAGACATAGTTATACATGTATGATGTATTTTTTAATTAGACTATCCTGTAAGTTTTATAGGCTTTTACATGGAAAATCTTAAATTTGAATTCTAGCTTTTATTTCTACAGCACTAACTTTAGGCTTATGTTTTTTCTAGTTGCAGACAGGTCTAGAAACAAATAGACTTATCTTTGAAGATAAGAAAACACCTTGTGCCCCCTGTGCAAGAAGAATTAAAAAAAAGAAGTCAAAGCCACCAGAAAAAGTATCAAAGCAACCAGTAAGTCAATATACTGATTATTATTGTCATAATTTATGTGAAAACACTCAAACCCTGTAATATTGCAATCTTGGATAAGTAAATCTATTTCATTCTCATTTTTTTTATTGGGAAGATGGGGATAAGTAATACCCACTTCTAAATTTTACCCTGATAGTGAGATAATATATATGAAAACATTTTAGAACTACAAAACACTGCATAAATATTAGTTGTTGATATTCAATATTGCATTAATTACTCTCTGCTCTTGAAATATTTTATACTAGTACACACAGACACAGCACTATACTATAATTGCTGTTTTGTCAGGTTTTATTTTTTCTTTCCTAGACTAGGATGCATGCTAACAAGTATTATTAGGAACTTGAGACCATAATATAGATAAGGCAAGTAGTAGCCTAGCAGTAAACTGGAATTTCAGGTTAGTCATATTCTAGTATAGTTAGCTTTTACTATCATGTGAGTAAAACTTTTTCTTTTCTTTCCATTCAGAAAGGTTCTAGGAACTATTTTGCTGCTCAACCACATTATAGATTATGTTTGGGTGATATGCCATTTGTAGCTGGGAAGGTGAGTTGTTTGAACTCTAGAATTTTTTTTATTTATTTTTTTATAACTTAGATATTTGAATTAAATCTACCCGTTCGCCTGTATAGCTAAAAATGGTGGAAATACTTCCTACTCTTTTGTGGGTCATAGTGATGTAAGGATGAGATGGAGGAAGGTTTTATGGGATTGGAGGAGAAGGGAGGGGACTAGGAGGACACTTTAAAACAGAAAATTTTTGTGGGAGGGAAGTTACAGAAAAGGGTCAAAGGAATAAGAAACAGTATGTTTGTAGCATTGAATTTTTAGTATCAACCCTGTTGATTTCTGTTTAGATAATAATACTTAAATAAAAATCACATTCTGGTTATCTTCACTTCAGTATTACTTATAAGACTCGTCCTCCTAGAAGCAGTTATACTTATTTTTCTTGTGTGCTTAAATGTAGAGATGATAATTTAGTTAAATATCAGCAAGTACTGAGTAATTTCTACTAAGTATTTAACACTGTTTATACCACTTTTGATTAACTGTTTGTGTTGATGGTTTGTTTCACACACAAACACACACATCCAGCTAAATTGTGCATTTATGAACTTGAGAGGCTTTGGGAGTAAATTTTTATTTGTCTTTTATTTAATTTAAAACTCCACCCCACCTCTGATCGAATTGTCATTGAAAGCTTGGAAAATAACTGTTTCTAACCTTTTCCACTTGCCTTTTGTAGGAGGCACAGATTGCTTGGAAAAATATTGCATTGGCTCTATGCTGTCCCCTACCCTAAAATTACCCTGTTGTTGGATAGCAGACTGTCTTTTGAAATATGTTATATCCTTTATCTTTTATCCCTACCAGACTTCTTTTGTTTCACCCAAGAATCTTTGATATAGGTTGGAAATAGAGGTTCTCAAAGGTTAGCCAGAATCATCAAGCATGCATTTGAAAAAGCAGACTATAAAGCCAACCACAACCCTACTAAGTCAAGAAAGTCTCTATTTTTAAAAATATATATTTTTATTGATTTCAGGAGAGGGGCAGAGAGAGAAACATCAATGAGAGAGAATCATTGATTGGCTCCTCCTGTACATCCCCTAATAAGGTTCGAGCCTTTAGTCTTTGATAATTCTCATTGATGTCATTAATACAAAGATTGAACAAGTTCAAAGACAGAGCTTTTCAACCTGAGCTTCCTTTTTGAAGTTATTTATATTATTCAAACAATTGTGTCACCTAGCTGTTTCTCAGATTATCTATTGTGTACGACCAGTATTTATTTCTAATTACATATTTTCATAGACCAATACTTTTGTGAAATGCAACAAAAGTGAATTACTAAAAAAGTAAAATTAAAAAGACAAAATAACAAGTCCTTATATTTTTATTATAATACTAGATTCAACAGACACAAAATTACATTAATAAATAACAATAAAAAATAATAGGAAAAAGATTTTCAAAAACATTTCTAACTCCTGACCTCATACTGATTTTTATGTGCTGCCTAGGAATCTGCATTTTTAGCTCTCTGGATGATTCTTTTGGAGTGAAGTTAGCTCAGCCATTTATATGTGAGTTGAAATAGCATGTTGAGGTTACTGTTTAGTATTCACAACAAAACCAAAAGTTTTGAGAAGGCTACCAGGTTTTTTTGTTGATTATGTGACAAATACGGCCTTAGTGCTTTTTTTATTTGAGGACAAAGAAATAATTACAGTAATAATCCCTATCACCTAGAAACATAATACTGTTTAATAGGGGAAATAGATATGCAAACACGATTACAATCTTTTGTGATATTGTGATAGAGATAAAGGCCATAAGTGATCTGAGTTTAAACAAATTAATTACCTGGAGATTTTATGGAAATCTTTAAAAATTATATATTTGAACTGAGTTTTAAAGACTGGCATAGAAGTTGTCACACACAAAAATATGGCATGTGCAAATAGTTTGTTCCAATAATGGAGAGGAATTAGGAGATGGGACATGAGGCCAGGAGTATAAATTATAGATCAGTTGTTATAAAGCCTTATTTTCTAGGTTAAGGAGTTTGGAACCACTGGGCTTAACACCAGAGGATTTCAAGAAGAACAACCTGTTCAGAATACAATTTTAGGGTAGCTGATAGCACTGTGGAGTTAGAGCCTGAAGAGGCTGGGAACAGAGATACCAGTTAGGATGCTCTTCCTATGAGGTGGGTGCATAAACCAACTGAATTGACAGAAGGATGGAGAATAAAAGGGAGGTTGGAGATGTTTCTGTTGTTACATCCTTGGTAGCTGGTAATTGATTTAACTAGACTAGGAGACATAGGCTTTTGGAGAAGTATGGGGAGTTCTCTTTTTTTTTTACCCAGGTTAGGGAGTGAAAAAAACAACAAATTTTGAGGATGTGGCTTCTAATTATTTCTCCTCATTTTTCTTCAGTCTACAAGTCCCAGTCATGCTGTGGTAGCCAATGTGCAGCATGTCTTGCATCTAATGAAGCAACACAGTAAAGTCTTATGCAATGATCGAGTAGTCAACAGTGTTCCTTTGGCAAAGCAAGTATCTGCACGAAGTAGTAAAAGTAAGAAGTCAGTAAGGCCGTCCTCCTCTAGCACCATTAATGAAGAGTTGTCAGAAGTCTTACAGACTTTACAAGATGAATTTGGGCAAATGAGCTTGTGAGTTTTAGTTCTGCTTTTTTTTTTAAATTATTATTACATTTAATTGTAAAATCTTGTTTTAACTTCTTGGTGACTTGTCAAGTATTTTGTTTGTTCAACAAATATTTGTTGAACACAATTCTTGTACCAACCACTGAGCAAGTTAATAGAACTTTAACAAATACAATTATTATCACTGGTAATTTGGAAGTTTGTTGCTCTATTAAAAAAATGGAGACATTTTTAAATGCATGAGCAATGGTCCCATAGTGAATGAGATGCGTGACCTTACCACGATAACACAGGATACTTAACCAAACCTTACTTTTGTTTTTATATAGTGATCATCAACAACTTGTAAAACTTACCCAAGAATCACCAACCGTTGAACTAAAAGAAAATTTAGAGTGTGAGCTGGAAGCATTAGTGGCAAGGATGGAGGCAAAAGCCAATCAAATAACTAAAGTTCGGAAATATCAAGCCCAGGTAACTCAGGTTTTTCTGTACTCATTTCTAATGATTAAAAAACAAAATAGTACAAAACCCCCCCCTTTTTTTTTTTTTTTCAAGTATATGAATTTATGACATTCTAAGTATCAGATAGGGAGCTATAGAAACTATTTACTGTAATTTGGTTGTTAATTTGGTTTATTAGTGATTAAGAATTGGTATTAAGTGGGCTAGAAAAATGACATTGTCTTTTAGTCTCTTAGAATTTTTGAAATATTGTTTCATATTCTGATATTTATTTGAACAAACTTAATTTCTGTTATGAATATAAATTGCTGAGTTTATACAAATCATTTTAAGAGCACCTAGAAATTTTCATTTAACCTTTAGTTATATAGTTAAATTTTCATATAACCTTTAGTTATATGGTTACTAATGATATTAAGTTAATAAGACAACCATTTATTTAGTATCTACTAAGTGCAGTGGGAAATCACATGCCAAGGTTTTCATCTGGAGAAAAGTGTGATGATTCATGTATTTAAGACATTACTCTGACTCTGGGAGTGTGGTGGTGATGAGGCAAAGAGGCTGAGATAGCAGTGAGGCCATTTAAGTGCACTTCTTTCAGGGTCATCAGGGACTACCGATTGAAGGGGTGTTTTGGAAGTAGAAATATCAGGGCTATTGCTGCTGGCTCTCATGTCGACTGAAATGTAGAAAATTGAGAGCGGAATATGATTGGCTGACATTAATTGGTTGCTACGTTACAGGCACAATGCAGGTGCTATGCATATGTAATCTAAAACCTGATGTTTTAAGCACTTTTTCTAAAGATTGTTTTTCAAAAAAGAAATATGCCCTCTGAGATGTATCAGTCTATTTCATGCATCCCTGCCTCTGGACCTGTTTTGTTTGTCACTTTTTTTGTCCACTTGATTCCACATGTAAATGAGATCATCTGATATTTATCTTTCTCTGACTGCCATATTTCATTTAGCATAGTAATCTCCAGGTCAATCCATAGTGTCTGAAAGGGTAAGAGCTCCTTATTTTTCATAGTCGAATAGCATTTCATTGTGAAAATGTACCGCCTCTTTTTTTTTATTAACTCATCTACTGATGCTATTTACAGTTCTTAGCTATTGTAAAAAACAAACACTGCTATGAACATAGGGGTGCATATATTCTTTCTGATTGGTGTTTTGGGATTCTTAGAATATATTCCCAGAAGTGGGGACACTGGGTCAAGTGGCAGTTCCATTCTTTACTTGTTTAGGAAACTCCATACTGTTTTCCACAGTGGCTGCACCAGTCTACGTTCCCACCAGCAGTGTATCGGGTTCTGTTTTCTCCACATCCTTGCCAATACTTGTTTGTTGATTTATTGATGGTAGCCATTTTGACAGGTGTGAAGTGATACCTCATTGTGATTTTAATTTGCATCTCTCTGATGACTAGTAATGTTGAGCATTTTTTCATATGTCTATTGGCCATCTATATGTTCTCTTTAGAGAAGTGTCTATTAAGATTCTTTGATCATTTTTTAAAAATTGGGTTATTTGTCTTTTGTTGAGTTGTATGAATTTTTAAAAAAAATATATTTTATTGATTTTTTAAAGAGAGGAAGAGAGAGGGATAGAGAGTTAGAAACATCGATGAGAGAGAGAATTGTCAATCAGCTGCCTCTTCCACACACCCTACTTGGAATGTGCCCACAACCAAGGTATGTGCCCTTGACCAGAATCGAACCTGGGACCTTTCAGTCTGCAGGTCAATGCTCTATCCACTGAACCAAACCAGTTTTGGCTGAATTCTTTATATATTTTAGAAATTAACCCCTTATCAAATGTATATTGGTGAGTATGTTCTCCCATACAGTGGGATCCCTTTTCATTTTGAGGATGGTTTATTTTGCTGTGCTAAAGCTTTTTAATTTGGTGTCCTATTTATTTTTTTTCTTTATTTCTCTTGCCCTAGGACTGTGGTCAGCAAATTGTGGCTCGCGAGCCTCATGCAGCTCTTTGGCCCCTTGAGCGTGGCTCTTCCACAAAATACCACGGCCTGGGCGAATCTATTTTGAAGAAGTGGCATTAGAAGTTTAAGCTTAAAAAATTTGGCTCTCAAAAGAAATTTCCATCATTGTACTGTTGATATTTGGCTCTGTTGACTAATGAGTTTGCCGACCACTGCCCTAAGAGATGTTTCAGTGGAAATTCTGATACATGAGATGTCTCAGATTTTGTTGCCTATGTTTTCTTCTAGATTTGTATGGTTTAGTGACTTACATTTAAGTCTTTTATCCATTTTGAGTTTATTCTTGTGTATGGTGTAAATTGGTGATCTGGTTTCATTTTTTTGCATGTACTTTTCCAATTTTTCTAACACCATTTATTGAGGAGGCTTTCTTGAGCACAATATGTTCTTGCCACCTTTGTTAAATATTGACTGATGGTGTTGGTTGATTTCTGGGGTATCAGTTCTGTTCCATTGATCTATATACCTGTTCTTGTGCCAGTAGCAAACTACTTTTATTACAGTGACTTCGTAATATAGTTTGATATCTGGTATTGTGATCCTTCCAACTTTGTTCTTCTTTCTCAAGAACTGCTATGGTTATTCATGGTCTTTGCTGGTTCCATACAAAGTTTTTGAATATTTGGTCTAGATCTGTGAAGTATGTGGATGGTATTTTAATAGGGATTGCATTGAATCTATACATAGCTTTCGGTAGAATGGATATTTTAATTATGTTAATTCTTCCAATCTTTGAACGGGCTATATGCTTCTACTTGCTTGTATATTCCTCTATTTCTTGGTTTTAAAACAATGCCCTATAGTTTTCTGAGTAAGAGGTCTTTTACCTTCTTGGTTAAGTTTATTCCTAGGTATTTACTTCTTTTTGTTGTTGCATTGGTAAATGGGTCTGCTTTCTTTAGTTTCTCTGAGAATTCATTATTGGTGTATAAAAATGCCACCCATTTCTGGATGTTAATTTTGTATCCTGCTACATTGCTGAATTCCTTTATTAATTCTAAGTTTTTTTATGGAGTCTATCAAGTTTTCTATGTTCAGTATCACATCGTCTTCGAATAATGACAGTTTCACGTACTCCTTTCCAATCTGAATGCCTTTTATTTCTTTTTCTTATCTGATCACAGTGGTAGGACATTGTTGAATAAGAATGGTGAAAGCGCTTATCCCTGTCTTGTTCCTGTTCTTACGGGAAACACTTTTAATTTTTGCCCATTGAGTAGGATATAGGCTATAGGTTTGTTCTATATGGCCTTTATTATGTTGAGGCATGTTCCCTCTATTCCCACTTTGCTGAGAGTTTTTATCAAAAGTGGTTGCTGGATTTTGTCAAATGCTTTTTCTGTGTCTATTGATATGATCATATGGTTTTTATCCTTCATTTTGTTTATTGATTTGCTAATATTGTACCAGCTTGGCATCCCTGAACCAAATTTCACTTGGTCATGATGTATGATCTTTTTAATATATTGCTGGATCCATTTTGCTAACATTTTGCTGAGGACTTTAGCATCTATGTTCATGGATATTGCCCTATAATTTTCTTTCTTTGTCATGTCTTCATCCGGTTTTGGGATTAGGATAGTGCTGGCCTCATAAAACAAGCTTGAAAGTGTTCCTTCCTCTTGAATATTTTGGAATATTTTAAGGAAGATAGGTGTTGATTCTTCTTTGAATGTTTGGTAAAACTCTGGGAAGCCAGTTCTCTCCAGTGGAACACTGACATGTCAGCAGCAATTCATTTTAGCCAGCAGCTAAAGTAAAAATAAAGCTTCCCTATTAAAATTAAATTATTCTAATTATAGTGAAATAATAAAATAAAAATTATTTTCATATATTAATACATTACCACTCCATCTCTTCATCCATCTGAAACATGCTTCTTTGCCCGCCCAGGCTAGAATCTTTCTTCTCTCCTTCACCTGCTATCCTTCATTTACCTTGTCTCCAGTATTTTTCCTCCTCCAGAAGGAAATATTTAGTTTCATTTGTAGTTTCATTTCTTCTCCCAGCCCTCTTACTTCTCATTCACCCTGTTCTGCACTTTGGCAACATGACCTTAACTTCTGATACTGTACCACAATTGATATGTTTTCTCTTGTTTACTTATTTATATGTCACTATATATTTTAAGCACTAAGTATTAAATGACTGGTAAATTAGATTTTTGAAGTTTTAAAAAAAAAAAACACCCAAAATATATTATTTTTATTTTTATTTGTATTGATTTCAGAGAGAAAGAGAGAGAGAAACATCAGTGATGGAGAGAATCATTAATTGGCTGCCTCCTGCACACCCCACACAGGGTGGAGCCCACAACCCAGGCATATGCCCTGACTGGTTCAAAGGTCAATCAGTGCTCAACCACTGAGCCATGCTGGCCAGGCTATAATACTTGCATTTTGGTATGAGAGTTTAAAGTACCAGTTGTCAAAAGAGAATGTTTTAATTAAATTCTTCTTTTTTTCTTGACTTGGTTATCTGTTACAGCTGGAGAAACAGAAAATAGAAAGACAGAAAAGGGAACTAAGACCCACCAAAAAGACTCTTGATGAAGAAGGAAACAGTAGCAGCCGTTCTTCTGGAAACACAGGGACCACGAATAAGAGGGACTGTACCAAACCCAGACCTGGGGAAAAAAGCAGGAAAAATCTTCAGTTACTGAAGGACATGCAAACCATACAGAGTTCATTACAAAGCAATAATTTGTGTTGGGATTACTGACTGGTATCAGGTTATAAATTTTATTCAGTAACCTGTACTTCATCAATCAAATGTTGACAATTTCTTTTCCAGGTCTCATATTCTTGTGTTGGAATTAATAGGCCCACGCTTTATTCAACACACAGGCTTCTTGTGTTTGCACATCACAACTCAATGTTAAATCATCGAAATAGAAATTGGGAGTTTCAGGGGCTAAGAAGCCACATATACTTTGTTTGAGATGAATTTGTTGTACTGAAATATTGTGCTTTGTAAACAAAATACCAGTTTTTTACTTGTGGGTGTGATCTTTTAAAATAGTTCTTTATTTGTCTAAGTAAATTTAGGTTTAAATTATCAAAATAGAGGCTGTCCCATAGGCAGTGTTTGCTGGAAAAGTCTCATTTTTAAATATTTCTCTGGCATGAATTGCCCTTCCTACTACTACAAACATTAAATATACTTTGTTTTGACTTTTGATGGAGGTTTTCTATATTTAAATATTTATACATATTTAAGAAGATTGTTTTATTTTGCTTTTTGACATTTCAAACCAATCAATATTGAATACAGTTAAAGTTTTTAAAAAGACTCAATCATTCATTTTAAGTCAGTGAACTGTGAAGATTATGAAAGAATTTTTTTTTAAGTATAAACAAATTGTTAAGTAAATGAGGTTTTGGAATGAAGAGATAAGGGGAGGTATTGGAAACACTTGTTTTTAAATAGTACGTGTTTGTAATTATGCTATTCATTTGGAAGCATTATGGGTTTTAATCTTTATGAAGAACTCCTTGGATATTTACTTTTATTGGTGTACAGTATGATTGCAGTCTTAACTGTACACGTGCAATTATTATGTTAATAATGTAATTCATTTTGAATATATAAAAACATTAACCTTTTATAAATTTGCCACTTAAGTCAATAAAGCAGCTTTTTTAAGGAAACACTGAAATTTTCCTTAGCAGCCTGTTAATAAGGCTTTATTTGTTGTAATTTTTTTAAATGCATTTCCAAGTAGTAGTATACTATGCGAAAAAATAAGAATATATGGTATTTATGAATACATAATTTACTTGCCTTTAACGTGCTTACATGGAAACTAAGTCCAAGAAAATTGAATTATCTTGTGGTACAGGATAAGATACTCTTAGGGTACTAAGGAATACATTAGCCACATATCAAAGAAATTCATTTTTATGCCTCCTCTGGGGTTGAAATAGATTTCTAGGATTTTTTCTAGATAACCATCATGAATTGTATTGGCTGTCCAGGCACTATGCTTATTAAATTATTTTTCTATAGAGTTCTTATTTTAGGATCTTTACATTTGGGGGTATTTGTGAATTTACTGAAATTGTATGTAAACTTTTGCTTGCATGTACAATTTTCTGATGAGCAGGTTTGTATCTTCATTGAATGCATAGCTGTGAGTGCAGACCCAAGGAATCACTGTTCCATGACATGGAAAATATTTCATGTGTCTCATCACTTTTTCAACTATTAAAATTTTGTTGCTTTTGTTTTTGAATTCCAGGTCATTAAATTGTGTAACTCTCATTTGCATTATAGTGGCTCCAAGTCCTAATTAGAAGAGTGGTTTAATGTTGGTAAAACCTATCCCATCTTTCAGCTAGGAGTCAAACCGAAATATTCACTCCATCTTTTGATACCCTTAGGTGAAACTGAAAACAAGAAAATACTGCTTCAGCCTCCTGATTTGAGTTTACAGCAGAGGATTATGTTGTCATTCATCCAATTCTGTTGTATGAGAGCTTTGTTGCAATACTTTTCAAACACAAGAATCTTCTATTGTAAGGTGCCAATGTGGATACCAAGCTGAGTAAGAAAGGTATGTTTACAGGTAGGTGGTAGATATCTGAATGATCCTTCATTTCAGTACAATGTGAATGCAGTGGTGATAGCATGGGCACATGGTACGGGAGCACAGAGGAAAGGGGGGGCACGGCAGAGAAGGTGCCCGTGAATTAGGAAAAACCTCCAGGAGGGGGAAATGATGCCTAAACACTAGAGAACAGGAATTAGCCAAAAGGAAGAACAGTTTCAGGTCAACAAGATAAAATGAATCTGAAGTTTACATAGGAGCATTGTAACTAAGTAGAACTGGTACGTAGTACATAAATGTAGATGTATGCAGATAAGAAAAAGAGGGTAAGCAGATGAGTCACAGGATGCTAGTAAGGCGCTTCGACTTAATCTTACTGGTCTCTAAATTGTGTATTCCTTATCCTAAAGGAAAAAATAGCTCCTCTATGACAAATACTCGTAGTTATTTATGAAGTTATACATAAAACTCAATATTCTCTTTGCAAAAGTCATTCTGTCCCTTTTTAAAATTAGATTGGGTTTGTTGTTTATGAGATTTTTATATATTTTGAGTATTAATACTTTATCTAATAAATGGTTTGCAAGAAATTTCTCTGCAGGTTGTCTTTTCTCCCACTCTGCAATTGTTTTTTGTTGCTTTTTTGCTGTGCAGAATCTTTTTAATTTGTTGTAGTTTCATTTGGTGATTTTGCTTTTGGCATCATGTAAAAATATCATATCTAAGAGCCTGTTTTCTTCATTCTCTTCTAGTACCCTCTTATGGTATCCAGGCTTATGTATAAGTCTTTGATCCATTAGAGTTGATTTTGGGGATTTTGTCTAGATAAAATCATATCATCAGTAAATAAAGACAATATTACTCATCCTTTCCTACTTAGATGCATTTTATTTGTTTTGCCTAATTTCTCTTGTTAGGACTTCTAATACTATACTGAATAAGTAGTGAAAGTGGGAATCCATGTTTTGTTCCTAACTTTGGAGGAACAAAGTTGAGTATTTTATCTGTAGATGTGTCTCATATGATTACCTTCTTTATTCAGTCTGTTAAAAATTTTAATCCAGAAAGGATGATGCATTTTGTCAAATGCTTTTTCTATACCTGTTGAAATGATAATGTGATTTTTATCTTTCAATTTAGTAATGTGAAACATTATATATGCATTATATATGTGGAACTATCTTTGTATCCCAGGAACGAATTCATGGTGTATAATCCTATTAATGTGTCCTTAAATTTGGTTTCTTAATATTTTCAAAGAATTTTTACATGTATATTCATCGGGGATATTGGTCTATAGTTTTTTGTGCCGTCCTTCTGTTTTTTAATCGATATGATGCCTCCTGTTACAAGTTTGGAAGTGTTGCGTCTTCCTTAATATTTTGGAAGAGTTTGAGGAGGATGGATGTTAATCTTGTTTAAATGCTTTATTATCTTACCAGGGAAGTCATCACCTATGGTCCTGGAGTTTTCCGTGTTGGTAGTTGTTTAATTACTGATTCAACTTTTTTACTCATTATTGGTCTGTTCATATTTTTTATCTCTTCCTGATTCTAATTTGGTCGGTTATGTGTTTCTAGAAATGCATTCATTTCTCCTAGGTTACGTGATTTTTTGGCATATAATTGTTCACAGGACTCTTATAATCCTTACATATTTCTGTAGTACCAGTTGTAGTGTCTTCTCTTTCCTTTCTAAAGTTTTCTAACTTAGTCCAGCTAAAAATCTGTTAATTTTATCTTTTCAGTGAACCACCTCTTATTTTCATTGATCTTTTTCTGTTGCTTTTCTGCTTTCTTATTTCTATGCTGATCTTTATAGTTTATTCCTTCTGCTAACTATGGGCTTAATTTGTTACTCTTTTTTATAGTTTATTTGAGATCTAATTTTTTAATATATGTGTTTATTGCTATGAACTTTGAGAATTGCTTTTGCCTCCTACCACAAGATTCAGTATGTTGTATTTTCATTTTTATTTCAAGTTAACTTTTTATTTCCTTTTTAATTTTTATTTGGTTGTGATCTTTTTACTTTCCTCATGCTTTCTAGGTCCATGCCACAGTGGTCAGAAAAGACATTTGGTTTGATTTCAGTCTTAAATTTGCTAAGATTCATTTAGTGTCCTTCATATGGTCTATCTGGGAGAATGTTCTGTGTGGATTTGACAAGAACACGTATTCTGCTGCTTTGGCATAGAATGATATATTTATTTCTGAGAAGTCCATTTGTTCTAAAGTATGTTTCAATTCCAGTATTCTCTTTTCTGGACTATCTTTCCATTGGTAATAGTGGGGATCCCCTACTATTTCTGTTTTTTCCTATTTCTTAATACATGTTTAGCATTTGCTTAATATGTTTTGATACTCAAAGCATATATATTTATGATTGTTTATCATTATGCTATTTTCTTTGACCATTTTTGGTTTGAAATCTATTTTGATTTGAAATCTAAGCATGGCTATGCCTGCTTTCTTTTGGTTTCCAACTTGCTTGAAATACATCTTTCAGCCCTTCACTTTAAGCCTCTGTGTTCTTAGAGCTAAAATGAGTTTTTGTAACACAGCATATAGTTATGTTTTGTTTTCAATTCATTTAAATTTAGGGTTGTCATTATAAGGACTTACTACTGCCATTTCGTATTTTACAGTTTATTTTGTCTTCATTGTTTCTTTTTCTTTCTATTTTGAGTCTACTTTTGTAAGTTGCTGGCTTTTCATGTTTCATGTATCTTCTCTAAATGTTTGCTATACATAAGATTTACATAAAGCATCTCAGATAAAATAGTCCATTTTATGCTAATAGCAATTTATCATTCTTAACCTATAAAAGTTCCATCCTTTCACACCTTCCCTTGTATTTTTTGATGTCAAAATTATCTTTTTATTCTGTGAATTTTTTAACAGATTGTAGTAACTATAGTTATTTTAAATGCTACATTTATGCTATAATTGCTTGCTCTCTATAATAATAAAAGGGTAATATGCTAATTAGGCTGGGAGATCTTCTGGACATCCCTCTCGACAAAGCCCTGGTGGGGACCTGAGGGAGATGAGGTTAGAAACAATCAGGCCAGGAGGGAGGGCAGTTTGGGTGATCAGGCTGGTGAGGGATGGGGGAGGGGTGCCAGGTGGGTGAGAGCAGGCTGGTGGCGGGGAGGCAGTCGGGGCTAGCA